GGCTCGCGGGCGCCGCCTGGGCGGCGAGGGCCCCGCGGGCCCCCCGCGCGCGCCGCGGCCGCGGCGGCGCGGCCAGGAGCCCCTCGGGGGGGCCGGCGCGGCCTCTGGGGGGCTCTGCCCGTCGTCGTCGTCGTCGTCGTCGTCGTCGTCGTCGTCGTCGTCGGCGGCGGCGGCGGCGTCGTCGTCGTCGTCGGCGTCGGCGTCGGCGTCGGCGTCGGCGTCGGCGTCGGCGTCGGCGTCGGCGTCGGCGTCGTCGCCGCCCTGTGCGTGCGCGGGTGCTGGCCGGGCAGGGGCCGCCTTCTGGGGGCTCTTGCCGGGTCCCAGGGCCGTCAGGAGACGGCTCGGGGCGAGAAGCCGGCCCCGGGGAATGGGTCGAGACTTTTCTGGGAAGGATCGCGACGGGGGGGTTTTCCCGGCTTTCGGCCTCTGGGGGCTCTTGCTGGGCCTCGGGCCCGTCAGGGAGCGGTTCCGGTCCTGGGGAATGGGTCGAGACCTTTGGGGGGTCGACGTCGTGAAACAATCATGGCGTCGGGGGTCTGGGTTCTCCTCAGTCCTCCCCGATCCTCACGGATGCTCCGCAGCTTCCTCCTCCTCCTGATCCTCCTCCTCCTCCCTCCTGCCTCCTCCCTCCCTCCCCCCCTCCTCCTCCTCCTCCTCCTCCTCCTCCTCCTCCTCCTCCTCCTCCTCCTCCTCCTCCTCCTCCTCCTCCTCCTCCTCCTCCTCCCTTCTGCCTCCTCCCTCCTTTCTTCCCCCTCCTCCCTCCTGCCTTTTCTTTTCTCGCTCCTCCCTCCTCCCTCCTCACTCCTTTCTCTTCCCTCCCTCCTTTCCCCTCCCTCCTCCCTCCTCCCTTCTGCCTCGTCTCCCCCGCCGCACGCGCGAGGGGCCAGAGGGCACCTGCCTGCAGCCGCGCCCTGGCCCGGCTTTTTTTTTGGGGGGGGGGGGGGCGCTCGTCCGCGCGGTGCGAGCGAGGCTGGGGCGCTGCGCCGACGGAGAGGCCGCGGGGCCCGTGCGCGGGCGGGTCTTCGCGGGCACCCGGGCCGTCGGCGCATGAGGATTGCGGTGGAAGGCTTCTGAGGAGGAGGAGGAGGAGGAGGAGGAGGAGGAGGAGGGGGAGGCGGAGGAGGAGGAGGAGGAGGAGGAGGAGGAGGCGGAGGAGGCGGAGGAGGAGGCGGAGGAGGAGGCGGAGGAGGATAGGGGCGCGCAGTCCGGCGGCGCGGACGCAACAAAACACGGGTGGAGGAAGCAACGGGTTCGGAAGAGAAGTCCTGCGTTCCCCCCTCGGAGGGGGTGCCCGTGGTGAGGCGTTGGGGAAGCCTGCTGCGGCACCACTCAGCCAGCCCGAGACGTTCGAGTGGGAGGTCGACCACATCATTGATTTTGTCCCCACGTGTTTTTTTTGTTCACCCCGAAACTGTTTTTGTCGGAGGTTCTTCTCCTTTGTCGGACTAAGTTTTTTGCCCAGTGCGTGTTTTGATTTTTGTCTAACTCGTATTTTGAGGTTTATGCTGTTGTTGTTGCTGTTGCTGTTGTTATTGTGGTTGCTGCTGCCGCTGTTGTTGTTGTTGTTGTTGTAGTTGTTGTTGTTGTTGGTATTGCTATTGTTGCTGTGATTGTTGTTGTTGTGATGGTTGTTGTTGTTGTTGTTGTTGCTGTTGTTGTTGTTGCTGCTGCTGCTGTTGTTGTTGTTGTTGTTGTTGTTGTTGTTATTGTTGTCGTTGCTCTTGTTGTTGTTGTTGTTGTAGTTGTTGTTGTTGTAGTTGTTGTTGTCGTTGTTGTGGTTGTTGTGGTTGTTGTTGTGGTTGTTGTGGTTAGTGTTGTTGTTGCTGCTGCTGTTGTTGTTGTTGTCGTCGTCGTCGTCGTTGTTGTTTTTCGCTGTTGTTGTTGTTGCTGTTGCTGTTGCTGTTGCTGTTGCTGTTGTTGTTGTTGTTGTTGTTGTTGTTGTTGTTGTTGTTGTTGTTGTTGTTGTTGTTGTTGTTGTTGTTGTTGTTGTTGTTGAATTTCACTTCTGAAGAATAATTATTGTTGTCCCCCCCACCGCTGCATACTGTTTTTTCTCAATCAATGTGTGCCCCTCGACGCTCGCACCCTGTTTTTTGACAGGGGAAGTCTTGATGCTCAAACTAGGCCCCTGGCCCCCGGGTTACAACAACAACAACAACAACAACAATTACTAGCACGTGGGGACACTCCGTTCTCACCAGTGCCAGGGTTTTCATAGGAGGCGGGCAATACCCCCACTTTGTGGGGGGGCCGGTTCAAGCTCTACCAAATTTCCAAACGACTCTTCGCCACCACCCACACCCAGCTTCCCGCCCTATGACGTTCGGACACTTCACTTCGTGGCATGCGGACGACCGTGGCTACTATTCAGGGCCCCGCGGCCGACGACGACGGCGTGCGCGCGCGAAGAAAAAACGAATGTGTCCCGCATGGTATTATTTGACAGGGATGATGGCCCTGGCAGGTGCGCAACCGTTGTTGCAGAAGTTCGAAAAAGTTGCTCGCAAAAGCCCGTTTGACAGAAATGTTTAAAAAGTGTTGGGTTTCCTACGAATCCGCAAGAGCGCGCGGGATGAAATTTTGACATTTTTTTTTTTTTTTTTTTTTTTTTTTTTTTTTTGCAAAAAAACCATGGTTTTTTGATGTTTTTATGTTAAAATCGCTACGAAACACTAAGGTTTTGGAAGGAATTTCG